CGCTGTAAAATGCCCTACTCAAAAGTTCTTTTTTCAGTAGCCTCCGGAAGGTTTTTATGGAATTAACCAATCTTAAAGCAACCAGCAGATGATTAAAGACCTTTCGGCCTTCATATATTATAGATCTTTTGACCAAGGTGCTATTTGGAAAAAAATAAAGAAAAGTTATTTTATATTTTAGAAAGTTTGTCGTAGAATTTTGAACATCCTGTATGATTTACAATTGCCATATTTATAGCAAAGTGAGTACAGACCATCTAAAATAAATACCTAATATAGTTTTGATTTCAAGACAGTTCTTGTATTTTTAATATTTTTTTAAGAAATGCTGAAAAATACATATATATTTATTTATTTATTTATTAATATCTCTGAAACTATCGGAATATATTTACTCATGTCTTACGATTATGTAAAGTAATCTGAAAGGAAGCCAAAAATCCAATAATATACAGGGTGTTCCAGATCCACTCACGCTTTTTTGACTCAACCTATAGAAGTACAATACATCCTAGTACATACTTTAGGTTTGCACTTCAACAAAATTCCCAAGTTCTTTATTCTAGGAGCTACAGATGTCCGACGCATTATTGCCTGTATGGTAGATATCGTACTTATAATTAAGCGTCACTAATGAAGCATATTTTCTAATGTTAAGAGAAGAATTTTTGGATGTTTCTGAAATAAAAACCTCATTTTCACCATATTCTTTCGTTGCATTTTGTGATTTCGAGGATAATCCAACGAAACCCTCATCCAGCAACACCTTTTTCCAATTCCATTTCGTTTTTCCCGTCCGATCTAAGTGTCGTTTGATGGCACCAAAGGGCCCCGAGGGACGAAAGGAGCAAGGGACGAATTCGCTCCTTGAACTTGTCGTCGCCGATTGAATTTCTCCTTTTGTCCCGCAAGATTTCGGGGAAGATTGATGATTGGCGTGGGGTCGACGAACCCCGTTTCAAAGAGATAATTTTTCTCGGGGTGGGTAATCTGTAAAGTTTCTTTTTATCGCCTAATCGAATTGTCGTCGACTGGATGGAGACGTTGGAGGAATTTGCAGAGAAATGTATCAAGGAAGGAGAATCTGGCACACAATTTTATTATTTATTGAGCTGTTATCTATTTTATGTCTTCAGTTTGAATTTTCGTACACCCAAAAAATTGGCTGGAAATATATATTTTTATTCATTAAAATATCTCTGAAACTATCGAAATATATTTACTCATATCTTAGGATTATGTAAAGTAATCTGAAAGGAAGCCAATAATCCAATAATATACAGGGTGTTCCAGATCCACTCACGCTTTTTTTACTCAACCTATAGAAGTACAATACATCCTAGTACATACTTTAGGTTTGCACTTCAACAAAATTCCCCAGTTCTTTATTCTAGGAGCTACAGATATCCGACGCATTATTGCCTGTATGGTAGATATCGTACTCATAATTAAGCGTCACTAATGAAGCATATTTTCTAATATTGAGAGAAAAATTTTGGATGTTTCTGAAATAAAAACCTCATTTTTACCATATTCTTTCTTTGCATTCCATGGTTTGGAGAATAACCCAACAAAGCCCTCATCCAGCAACACCTTTTTCCAATTCCAATTCGTTTTTCCCGTCCGATCTAAGTGTCGTTTGATGGCACCAAAGGGCCTCGAGGGATGCAAGGGACAAGGGACGAATTCGCTCCTTGAACTTGTCGTCGCCGATTGAATTTCTCCTTTTGTCCCGCAAGATTTCGGGGAAGATTGATGATTGGCGTGGGGTCGACGAACCCCGTTTCAAAAGAGATAATTTTTCTCGGGGGTGGGTAATCCGTAAAGTTTCTTTTTATCGCCTAATCGAATTGTCGTCGACTGGATGGAGACGTTAGAGGGAATTTGCAGAGAAATGTATCAAGGAAGGAGAATCTGGCACACAATTTTATTATTTATTGAGCTGTTATCTATTTTTGTCTTCAGTTTGAATTTTCGTACACCCAAAAAAATTGGCTGGAAATATATATTTTTTATTCATTAAAATATCTCTGAAACTATCGAAGTATTTTTACTCATATCTTAGAATTATGAAAATTAATCAGAAAGGAAGCCAAAAATGCAACAATAAACAGGGTGTTCTATTTTGAAAAAATCATCTCGATCCAGTCACGCTTTTTTGAGCTACCCTGTAGAAGTTAAAATATTTTCCTGAAATATATCCTAGTCCATAACCGGCAGATGATTAAAGACCTTTCGGCCTTCATATATTATAGATCTTTTGACCAAGGTGCTATTTGGAAAAAAAATAAAGAAAAGTTATTTTATATTTTAGAAAGTTTGTCGTAGAATTTTGAACATCCTGTATGATTTACAATTGCCATATTTATAGCAAAGTGAGTACAGGCCATCTAAAGTAAATACCTATTATAGTTTTGATATCAAGACAGTTCTTGTATTTTTAATATTTTTTTAAGAAATGCTGAAAAATACATATATATTTATTTATTAATATCTCTGAAACTATCGAAATATATTTACTCATGTTTTACGATTATGTAAAGTAGTCTGAAAGGAAGCCAAAAATCCAATAATATACAGGGTGTTCCAGATCCACTCACGCTTTTTTGACTCAACCTATAGAAGTACAATACATCCTAGTACATACTTTAGGTTTGCACTTCAACAAAATTCCCAAGTTCTTTATTCTAGGAGCTACAGACGCATTATTGCCTGTATGGTAGTTATCGTACTTATAATTAAGCGTCACTAATGAAGCATATTTTCTAATGTTAAGAGACAAATTTTTGGATGTTTCTGAAATAAAAACCTCATTTTTACCATATTCTTTCTTTGCATTCCATGGTTTGGAGAATAATCCAACAAAGCCCTCATCCAGCAACACCTTTTTCCAATTCCATCTCGTTTTTCCCGTCCGATCTAAGTGTCGTTTGATGGCACCAAAGGGCTCCGAGGGACGAAAGGAGCAAGGGACGAATTCGCTCCTTGAACTTGTCGTCGCCGATTGAATTTCTCCTTTTGTCCCGCAAGATTTCGGGGAAGATTGATGATTGGCGTGGGGTCGACGAACCCCGTTTCAAAAGAGATAATTTTTCTCGGGGGTGGGTAATCTGTAAAGTTTCTTTTTATCGCCTAATCGAATTGTCGTCGACTGGATGGAGACGTTGGAGGGAATTTGCAGAGAAATGTATCAAGGAAGGAGAATCTGGCACACAATTTTATTATTTATTGAGCTGTTATCTATTTTTATGTCTTCAGTTTGAATTTTCGTACACCCAAAAAAATTGGCTGGAAATATATATTTTTTATTCATTAAAATATCTCTGAAACTATCGAAATATATTTACTCATGTCTTACGATTATGTAAAGTAATTTGAAAGGAAGCCAAAAATCCAATAATATACAGGGTGTTCCAGATCCACTCACGCTTTTTTGACTCAACCTATAGAAGTACAATACATCCTAGTACATACTTTAGGTTTGCACTTCAACAAAATTCCCAAGTTCTTTATTCTAGGAGCTACAGACGCATTATTGCCTGTATGGTAGATATCGTACTTATAATTAAGCGTCACTAATGAAGCATATTTTCTAATGTTAAGAGACAAATTTTTGGATGTTTCTGAAATAAAAACCTCATTTTTACCATATTCTTTCTTTGCATTCCATGGTTTGGAGAATAATCCAACAAAGCCCTCATCCAGCAACACCTTTTTCCAATTCCATTTCGTTTTTCCCGTCCGATCTAAGTGTCGTTTGATGGCACCAAAGGGCCCCGAGGGATGCAAGGGACAAGGGACGAATTCGCTCCTTGAACTTGTCGTCCCCGATTGAATTTCTCCTTTTGTCCCGCAAGATTTCGGGGAAGATTGATGATTGGCGTGGGGTCGACGAACCCCGTTTCAAAAGAGATAATTTTTCTCGGGGGTGGGTAATCTGTAAAGTTTCTTTTTATCGCCTAATCGAATTGTCGTCGACTGGATGGAGACGTTGGAGGGAATTTGCAGAGAAGTGTATCAAGGAAGGAGAATCTGGCACACAATTTTATTATTTATTGAGCTGTTATCTATTTTTATGTCTTCAGTTTGAATTTTCGTACACCCAAAAAAATTGGCTGGAAATATATATATATATATATATTTTTTATTCATTAAAATATCTCTGAAACTATGGAAATATTTTTACTCATATCTTAGGATTATGAAAATTAATCAGAAAGGAAGCCAAAAATGCAACAATAAACAGGGTGTTCTATTTTGAAAAAATCATCTCGATCCAGTCACGCTTTTTTGAGCTACCCTGTAGAAGTTAAAATATTTTCCTGAAATATATCCTAGTCCATACTTTATGTTTGCACTTAAACAAAATTCCCAGGTTTTTTATTCTACGAGCTACAGATGCCCGACCTATAGTGCCGGAGCGTGTATAGATAGTATGCATTTATACAAGGCTGGTAAATAAAAGAAACATATTTTCTCTCTATCTTTTTTCAAAGAAGTCCAAAATTATTGAGATATTTTACTTTGAAAATTAAAAAAAATATATTTTTTGCTTAAATTTTGAGAACCACTGGATCTTTTCTGGGTTTTCTTTCATGTAAATTTAATCTATAATACCGTATGATCGAATAAAAACGGCGTCAGCGATGGCTATGATATTGAAGATCGCTGTCATTTTATATGTAAAATTTTATGGGAAATGTCATCGATCGTCATTTCCAAGCCAACTGGACGCCGTTTTTATTATACTACCAATGTTACTATATTTTGAAGATATGTTTTTCCAGGTGCAATATAGTAGAGAGAAGCATTGTGAAATAATTATAGGTACACATTTGTTTCATATTTTTCACTAGACTTGCCGAATCATAGAATATTAAAAATTTAATTAGTTACAGAATTTTAGACAGTAACTACACTTCATCTATATATTAACCATAATTGAATCAATAAAATAAATCTATATTGTGCTTTTAATTCATCGAATTCATTCTTTTCAGGTCCTCCCGGTCCTCCAGGACCTCCAGGCCCACCGGGAAAACGGGGGAAGAAAGGAAAAAAGGGGGAACCAGGCGAAGCGGGGCCAGCGGTAAGCTATTTTTACAAGTTTCTTTACTAGAAGTTTTTTTTCGATTGCTTTTTGTTCTCGAACGGCTAATTAATTTTAGTTTAGTTTATTTTGCTTTATTTTTTATATATTAGCTTTTAATTTATCTTTTTCTTTTTTTGTTTAGGGAACCCCAGGCACGCCGGGCAAAAATGGTTTTCCGGTATTTATTTTTTTTTAATTATTATTTTTTGTATTTAATTTTATTATATTTAATTTAATATTACAATTAAATAAAATGAGTAATGGTTGCTTTAAAAAAGGTATCAAATACTAACATGATCCCCCTAAGCGTGCCAGGGGGGAACTAAAGTTTAAATTAAAAAAAAGCATTTTTTATATAAATTTTATATACTTTTTATCTAAACTGCGATTGTTCAGTTGTTAGTATTTGATACTATTTTAATTGCATTTAATTGTATATTAATTTTAAATAATAAAGACAAACAAAACACGATTTCATAAATATTTGATCAGGATGATATATAACAGCATATAATTAAACCACGTTGCAATAATATAGCTTAATTATAAGTTCATTACATATTAACACATGCATAATTAAATTACAGTTATCGTGACACTTAAAATTTTGTAGAACAAAAATAGATTGAAAATTAAAAATTTTTTGCCCAGTAGGATTTCTATTATGATAATTTTCAATTTTTTTGTAGTTTTTTTGTTTTTGCATCTATGCAATTTTAAAAAAATAGTTTTTTTCTTATATACAGCGTGGCCCAGCCTTTCAAAATCACTCTATATCAGATTTTTGGTTTGAAATTTTCACTCGAGTCTTTATTATAAAATATGCAATGATAGCGTACATTTTCAAAAAAATGTTTGTCAATATACAGCGTGATTCAAACATATATTCAAATTAATATTGTATATTTTTAAATGAAATATCATACATAATTTAGCTCAGTGGATTTGTTATTAAATTTCCATAATAATAATGTCATTTTCTATACTGAATAGTTTTTGAAATATGACCATCTATATAATAAATCATATTAATTAATACGCCAAGTGAAAATTTGTAGAAAGTAAATATCAGTTTTAGGCTATTGGAATTGCTTAATACAACAAAAATATTGAACCAAACCTTTATTTTTTTTATAATATAGAATACAAGGTGTTATATTAGAAATAGTGGAAAAAAATACAACATTTAGTTTTAGCTCACACTGTACAATATATCATAAAACACTGCAAATTCTAGTAGGTTGAATTTTGAAAAAAAAACACTATTATAAGGGAAATCCGCTAGTAAGTAAGTATCAAAAATTTTCAATTTTAGAATTTTTGAAGTCGGATCTTGTCTTATATTTTCAAAAAAATACAATTTTTTCATTAAATAACTATTTTAGGTATAGAAATTTTTAATTAAACAAAATCTTGTTCGATTATGATGCAAAATACAGGGTGTTTGTTCTGTCTCAAATATAGGAAAAAATACAACATTTAGTTTTGACTGGCCCGAAAATTTTGGTAGAACGAATTTTGAAGAAGACGCAATTATACAAAATAAAAAAAAAATTAACAGGGAGCACCTGTTAAAAAAATTTAAAATTCTTCGAATTTAGAATTTTAAGAAGGCTTAAAATAAACAGGAAATTTAGTTTGAAAGTGGTCATATTTTTAGAAACAGCTCGTTATAGAATATGACGTTATTGTGTTATTGGAATAGAAATTTAATGGTAGTTCCACTGAACTAAAACATACAGAACACACTATTTAAAAATACCTCACTTAGTCTAATAATATGATTGAGCCGCCTTGTGGGCAGCTTTTGCCCAATAAAAAGATTGGTTTGAAAATCTTAAACGAGAAATCAGATGTGGAGCTTTCAGGATCCCTGAGTCAGCCTGTATAAGATTCTTTTTATACCAATTAGATTAAAACTTTCATCTACATTCATATTCTACATCATCTACATTAATATTTGTAACTATCTAAAAATTGCTACCTGAATTAGTTACAGAAATTACCTACATGATTTTAAGTGTTAGGTTGTTAGAGAAGCAAGACATTTTTGGCAGAATACTTTTACAAAGCTATTACATCTATCTTCTTAAAAGAACTTTTGTTACTACAACATTACTAAAAGAAATATTTGTTTTAAATGAAAAATATTTAATCTAGAATAATCAATCTTAGCATTTACTAGAACTAGCTAAGTAAATATTTCGCCAATTAAAGAAACTTTCGGCGACATAGACAAGAATAAACAGATCACAAATAACACTAAAGTTATTTATCTTTAAACCCAATCTGCCAAAATTGTCTAGCCGATCAATCTCCAAACCATGTTCTACGAACATTCTAGCCTAGACATAGACACCTACACCACCTCCCCCAAAACCTCGACCTTAAATCCGTCTGAATTAATATTACAGGGTGACAAGGGTCAGAAGGGCGAGACAGGGCACAGGGTAAGAAAGCACGAGGGTGGGGGTAGTTTTTCGTATGGATTTTGGTGGTTTGTGATTGGTTTGTCCCTCCTCACCCCAATAACTTATAACAATCGGAAGTTTAACACCTCGGTCGCTAATATTTGCAAAGAAATTGAAAAGAGGAATTGCGCTAGTGGTCAGGGTTGGGTTACAACCATGTAGTAAATTCGATCTTCTAATTAAATAAACTTATTTTTAGCTTATTTTATTAATTTAGCTCACTGTATTATAAATATAATATAAGGCACGTAATTGGATAAAATATCTGTGAATCAGATTAGAAATACATCATTCCAGTTTACCATCAATCAGCTATTTTTTTAATTTTTAATCCATAAGATAAATGAAATTTTCTGCGATAACTTCAATCCACTCTCAACTAAATCTCAATCTCTTAATGAATGTATAGAGAGACACTTGGCTCAACTAACATGAGTGTGATGTTGCAATTGAACACCACCAAGAATTGGAAAGCAAAAAAGCTATGCGTATCAGTTTGGTTAGTTACTCTAGCAAAGATGGTTTTATGTCCAAAAGTTTTATAGGCATATTTTGGACATACCGGGTGCATTTCAAAAATGGCTCGCCCCTATAACTTTTTAATTTTTCCAAATAAAGAAACGAGATTTGGTATGTTAGTATATGACATAAATTAGGATTGATTGACGTATTCAATGTTTTTAGTCACTTGCTGTTTCACCGGAAATGTGTACAACTTTTGATTTTTAAATAGTACCCTCGGTATATTTTTACTTTATTTGATAGAAACACCTCATATGCCAACTTTTGACATTTTTACTTAAAAAAAAGTCGTATTTTAAATTTCAATCGTGGGTGCAATGGCTGTGTTAAAAATAATAATTTTTAATCATGGAGCCTTGGAAAAATAGATTTGATCATCTAATGGTTTTCGTGTTCTCATGCCTAAATCGTTTTTTTACATATCTCATTTTTTTCAAATGGATCAAGGGTGGCTCATTAGCATATTTGGAAAAAGCATTTTCTACGAATAATTTGGCACCACATACTTGGTATTTCGAATCAAATTGTCATTATGAACCGCATGTTACAATTTCAAATAAACCATATGTGAAAATGTCAAAAATTGACATATGATATGTCATTCTATTCAGAATGTTATTTTCTATCGAATAATGTAAAAACATACCGAGGCTGCCATTTAAAAATCAAAAGTTGTAGTCATATGTCATTTCCGGTGAAACAGGAAGTGACTAAAAACAATTGAATACTTCAATCAATCCTAATTTATGTCATATACTAACATACCAAATCTCGTTTTTTTTATCTGAAATATAAAAAAAAGTTATCTTTTGATACGCATTACCGGTATAGTAGATATCAATTCCTAAACTTAATCTCTGCTAAAGTATTTTCATTGACAGTTTTATTACAAAATCAATCAATGAACACTATTTGATTCGTGTGTTGATTATAGTACCTATAACAAAGACATGCTTTTAAAGCAAGAATTGCTGCAAATTGTTACTGTCTTCTTCAAAACCGAATATCTCCAATAAAAATAAAGCTATTAGGAAAAATCAAAAAACAAACTAAAATTCCTTACTTTGTTACACCATTCCACAGGGTGTTTCAAACTTTCTCCAAAATAGCAACATATAATCCCTAAACAGTACTACCTTAACTTGAATACAACTGTCGCATTGGAACATGGTTTCGCAGAAACCTGGTACAGTTTTCTCAAATATACTTTAACTTGATAATATTATTAGCAAATCTTGCAAAAAAAACACATTTGTTAGAAATGCGCAATTCCTCTTTATTCACATTACGACCAAGCCCTTAGTCATTAATGATCTAACTGACCAGTAGATTTTTGCATGGGTTTATCAAGAGTCCTGTTAGTCCACCCTGTCCAGAATACCTCTAAATTACTATTACATACTTGTTACTTGTTTCTTATAAAACTTTTCCCTCTCTGTCATTTTTTTTTGAACACTTAAGTTACCTACTTATTCAAGATATTGTAATAAATGTATCGAAATCAAGCAATTTATATTAGTGAAGTTTGTAGTTTGTTCCTTTATATGAGATATTTCATATTCAATAAAAGAACATATTAATATTGTAGCATTTCATATATTAAAGATACAAATGTTGAGATGGTTTAAATTTCTTGAGGGTAATTAGGTTTTTATTCTGATTGAATTTTTAGATTATTCAAAATATTCTAAACATGTTTTATGAATAATTCAATTCAATAATATATAGGATGTGGCATTTGAAATAAACAAGTTGGTATTGTTTACTGTTATATGACACACCCTGTATAAAAAGTTGTATTGAAGAAAAATGTAACTAAATTTCAAAAAAAGAAAAAAAAACTTGTTTATTCTAAGGTAAAATTTGCCGTGTAAATATAAGGTAAATATCACTAACCAAACTGCATTTTCAGATACAATGATTATTTCACTATGTCATATATAGGGTCCGGCAATAGTGCATCGGGCATCTGTAAGTCCTAGAATAAAAAAAATTGGAATTTTGTTGGGGAAGTGCAAACCTAAAGTATGTACTGGGATGTATTTCAGAAAAATGTTTTAACTTCTATAGTGTGGCTCAAAAAAGTGTGAGTAGATCGGGATGATTTTTTTAAAACGGAACACCATGTATATTATTGCATTTTTGGCTTCCTTTCAAATCACTTTACATAATCATAAGATATGAGTAAATATATTTCGATAGTTTCAGAGATATTAATAAATAAATAAATATTTTCTTTCAGCCTTTTTTTAAAAAAGCTATTAAATATACAAGAACCTGTGCTGAACTATATTAGGTTTTTACTTTAGATGGTCTGTACTTACTTTGCTATAAATATGGTAATCGTAATCTTATATTAATTACGTAATATAAAAATCGTAAAGGATGTACAAAATTCTACGCCAAACTTGTTTTTTTTTTTAATGGAACACCCTGTATATTATTTCTTCAGTAGATGGAGAATTAAAATTTTTTGCATTTAGAGTATTTCAAAATTTTTAACGGTTTCGCAGATATTCGCGGTTTTATATTTCATATGGCATTTTCCACAGTAAATTTTTATCAAAGACCCCACTGAATTTTCTCTCGTATTTTGCCATGGAAAAAATATTAGCAGTATTATATAAAATAATATTGCGTGTATCTGCGAAACCATTAAAAATTTTGAAATACCTTAAATACAAACAATATTTATTTTTTAACTCAAGCGGCATATGCCTGACGCACTGTTGCCGGACCCTGTATAGGGTGTTCAGATAGGCAAAACTCCAGACACAAACGCCTCCAGGCAAAGAGTGTAATGCTCTGCCTTTTTGCCAAATTAACTGCAGATGAAGATGTTGACAGGCGCCTACTCTTTTATTACTAATTTTATGTGTAATGCTAATGGGAGTACTAAGATTGTTTCTTTTTTTCACTCTAATGTAATGAATAATAACTAATTTAATAAGTAACAGCGGCGTGCGGTGACAATTATAGGCGGGGAAGCGAATCGGTAAAAAAAACCTATTTCGAGACATTACTTTTACATTTTCTTAAAAAACTTACCTTTGGAAATTCCGAGGCCAATTCCATTATTCGATTAAATTTCTATTGAAAATTGTTCAAGAAACAAAAACACATAAAGTTATAATAGTTAAAATACGATATTTTAAATTAATTTTCCGAAGCACTTGACGCGCGATAGGCACCTATTTGTATTTGAAGTCTATTCGTCTATCAGCCATTGCAAATTTTTCTATAACATCATCATAAAAATTTGGATTTAATTTATTATAATATTACCTATAATATCACAAGCGAACCCGTCCCGATAAATTAAAAGTCGAGGAAGGCGGCCGAAAGATCGCTGCCCGTGGCTAGCAACTGTGCGCGATTTTCCGGCTTAAATTTGTCGTTTGCGTTAGAGGTCATTAACACCTACATGAAGGAGGGTTGGGCGACCGGCGGCGATTCCCAGGCGCGCATCCATGCAGTAAAAGGCTAATTAAATTTACTAAATACGTTTATGTAAGGTTTCAAATAAATAATTTTAACAAATTAAATTAATCTTTTGTTCTAAAATAACAGTATTATTAACGTTTAACTATTTTTTTTTATCTTTAAAAAGTTTAGGGAAGCGGTGCTTCCCCCGCTTCCATGGACCGCACGCCGCTGTTAAGTAATTTAACATTTAAGAAATTTAATTCAAAATTAGTCAGTTAAATATTTGAGTAGCTTATAATAATATTTGACTCAAATACACACCTTCTACATGAAAACGCAATTTGGATACTGAGATTTACATGCCAAATTGCAATTTTTGGTATGAACCATTTTTTAAAATAAACTTCTTAATTTTTTAAAAGGCAGTCATTTCCTTAATTTTCACATCAACTATTTTTTCAAATCAAAAATCTTTGAAATAACTATCTTAATAATGTTTATCAACAAAGAAACAAACCACAATTTAAAACTAATCCAAACTGCAAACTGTGCACTAGAATAAACTATTTTCTTCTGACCTTTTCAAAATTAATTAAATCTTTTTTCTTCTTTCTTCTCAAATTCTCTTTGTACATATACTCTCTTCTATCGCTCTCTCCCTCTCTTTCTCATCGATCAAACAAGGATCCGACCAGATCAGACGAAACTAAGAGAAGAATATCTGTTGCAGGGTTCGACTGGGATTCGCGGATATCCGGGATTTCCGGTTTGTCGATTTTCATTTGTTTTTATTGCTTCCGGTGCTGGGGGCGGCCTCTGGTGTAGTAGTTAAAGGGCCAAGGGAAATAATCAACAGACAGCGTCGATTAACTTTGTCTCTCTTTCTTTGTGTTTCTTTTTTTTCTGTCTCAGTTTACTCTACGAGAAAATTCAATTTTGCTTTCCGTTTCTTTGTTGTTGTTGTTTGGTACATTGTTAACAAACTGTACTAAACAAACGCGCGAATTTTAGAGTATTTTTTTTTTAAATTTTAATACGTCTTACAAAAATGTCATATATTGTCAAATGTCACAGTTATTGATAAAAACCTATAATGCCTTAAATAAAAGCCTATTAAAAACCTGTTAAAAAGCCAGACAAAATGAAATAATGATTGATGATTAATATTTCATTTCGGTGTTTTTTTTAAATATTATTTTATTCTGGAATTATGTACTTGTACAAAATAATTTAATTAATTCTAATATTATTAAATAAGACCAAAAATAATTTTGTTCAAATACTTTTTTTTGTTTTTCTTCTTTTTTTTAGTTTTCTTGTTTTTAAGTACAAAGGGATAATTAAACACATTGGGAAACGTGTATTGGATGTGTTTTGTTTCACGTTTTCTTAATCATTACTAATTTTAACTTTTATTTATTTTGATTTTTTTTCTATGACAATATTGAAATGCAATCTCGTAGAGATAAATTTTCTTAAAATGCAAATGTTTGACAATGACATAGTTATTATATTTGTTTATTTGTACTATACTATGCATATGATTTCAAGTAGATAAATCTCTCTAGATTATTTACAAGCTGGTCCATATACAGGATGTCCCACGGTTACAACAAATATCCGTACCAGGTTGATATGTTTTTAGATAAAAATAATAGATAAAATATTTTTCACCACCTGATATGGATCTTTTGAACTGTAAATCATTCTTCGTGGACAAAAAAAGTTTTTATTTTAAATGATTTCTTTCAAAATATGATCTAATAGCAAAATAAAAAGATTTAAGATTCCTGAACTTTTTTGTTTGTATAACTTTGTCAGTGCCTTACATTAAGCAGATTTGTGTTTTTATTAACCTATCATTTATATTAGTGCTTTCATTCATCGTTTTAGTCAATTAGATAACAGTTTCATTTAGAACCATACTTTAATCCATTTCACCAATATATTTTTATTATATTTATAGGGTTAGTTTAATTTTATTATTATGTTGTAGGGTCCAATAGGATTAGATGGACCTAAGGGAGAACCAGTAAGTATTATGCTCATTAATAAATTCTTTTATTCATTAATTCCATTTTTTATTACATTTTATTGAATAAAACTTTGACTTTGACATTTAAGAGAAGTATTAGACATAAGTCATCATATAAGAATTATTTTTTCTGTTATAAATATTCTATAAAGCTATACGCTTGATCATACTATAATTTTTAATCATATTGTGTATTAATGGCACTTATTTCAAACCATTTATCTTCTATGTAGGTTCTGTAAATATTTATCATTTCACTCAAGTTGTATATGATTTATTTCTAGATAATAATATACAAATACAATTAAGTAGTCTATTAAAAGGTCAATTTTGATGTTGCTTCATCTTCATTTAGAAAAAGGACATATTTTCAAAAAGTTAAAATTAATTAAAAACGATATTTTGGTAATTTTTGTATAAATAAACAAGTATCTTAATAAATAACACGAAAAAAAATCAATTTTAGGTTAGAATAATTCGTGTTACAATAAGAAATAACATATTTTAAAGGTAGTCACACACAGGCAGTTTTTCCTCAAGGCAAAACAGTGCAGTCGAGGTCTTGAGGATTTTGTTTAAATAACAAATACTTTATAAAAATATCTGTTTATATAAGTTCCAAATTGATAGATTCTGTAAAAAATCAAGCTGTTGAGTTGACAACTTGAAAACTCTCTATATAAGAGAACACCATAACAATGTAGGGAAAAGCCAAATCCAATAAAAATGCAAAAAATTCCTCTTTTTTCTTGATTTTTAATTCAGTAATCATCTTCTGAATGTTTTTTATCTAAATTATTTATGCTTGAGCATTTGAAAATCAAAAATTGCTTACACAAACTATGTAGCACACTCCTAAAAAGGCTTCTCGGTATTCCGCCTGAAAATTAGACCTGATATAATATTAACATTTTCATTCATATTCAGAGAAATGAAAAGGAAACAAATTGAATTTGTCCTGCAACTTTGTACTGGCGCAAAGTAAATAAAAACTTCGTTTTATCATCGTTTTATTTTTTTTCCCGCTTGCCGGATGCATAACGTTAACTTTTATTTTAGGGATCTCCAGGAGAGAAGGGACAAAAGGGTCAAACAGGCAGCGCGGGAATCGATGTCATTCAAGCAGTCAAGGTAATAAAAATAGAGAATTGAAAATTCATTTTTTTGTATGTCTTACTTCATATTCAGTCATATTTTCATTCAAGTGTATAGTAGTGTTATTTGCAGATTACTTTATTTTAATTAATAAATAGTAAATAACTAACTCCATTTATATTTACAACAAATCTAAAAGTTAAACTACTATGAATGTCATGCATTAAAAGAGTTTATACTGATTTGAAGATATTTGAATATGTAAATAACAAAAAATAAAAAAATTAAAAATATTTTAATACTTATATACGTATTAATATTTTTTGTCACAAAATGGTTATAATTAGCATATCTTTTGTTAAAAATCCTTATCCTATATAAGTAGAGACTGGAAACAAGATTGTTAACCTCTACATTCACACTTGGGAACTTACATCTTTCTGCACATTAGTTATATGTATACTCCGATTTCCTTTAAAATATGCATTTACAGAATTATTTTATTAGATATTGTATATTCATTTATACAGGGTTGTTCACCACATACGACACGGAGTATTGCAGCTAAACGATTATATTTTTACAAATTTCAAGTTTTGGGTTCGATGTAGGACTATTAGAGGTACAATTTAAAAATAATTTTACAAGATACAGAGTATCCCAAATAAGTAAAAAATATCAAAGTTGTATTTTTTTAAATGGATCACCCTGTATATTATTACATTTTTAGTTTCTACGATTAAAATAAAGGTAAATTTGATTAAGGTTTATTATACTTAAACCTTACCGTTTTGAAATATTTTCAATTTTGTGAAATTGCAGTAAAAATTTTAAGGCTTCATTTCTCCAAGGGTATCAAAGTTTTTAATACTAAATATTTACTGAAGTTTATTTATTGATCAGTTATTGTGTTGCAATAATAAAAATAATACTACCTTATACAGAGTGTCTAAAAATTTATTTTAAATAATTTCTAGCTTTAAACGCCAATAACTTCTTTAATTTAAATGGAATGCCCTATATATTTTAGGAGAATCAGATGCACAATTTAATTATCTATCAAATTGTATTATACCATTTTTTACCTATCCCTTCAAGTTTTCGTAGAAAACGCATTTTCTTATAATTTAGACCTCATTTATCAATATATCCATGGAATATTGACATTTTAGATTGTTTTTAAAGCAACAAATGTACAAAATATACAGACTAGTAATATTATCGTTTTTAGCAAAACGATAATATTACTAACCCATTTGTATGCAAAAGAAAACTATTTAAATCTTTATAAAAAGAGTATACCATTAATTAAATATAACACCATTATTTCCGCCCATATACTAATTAATTACATACTTAATTGTGTTCGTTAATAAATTATTCTAAATAAATGTGGATTTGAGTCAGAAATCAATATAATAATAAGTTATCAAAATTAAAGTCTCTGTTGTTATAAATAAGCATTTATTAAAAAATGAAATATCATTTTTAAGGTGTACCCATACAAAATTCAGTTTTTTAGTATTTGGAGCAATTATTATTAATCAACGCAAACAGTCAGTTCATGTAGTTTGAATACTGGAATCATATTAATTGGTCCTCTTTAACAAATATTTAAACAGTTTGTTTTAATTTTTTTAATGAAATAAACGAATATATCGACAATATTAGTATCTGTACTCTTTAAAAATTTGGTACATCTTTAAAAACAATCTCAAATGTCAATATTCCATGGGTATATTGATAAATGAGGTCTAAATTATAAGAAAATGCATTTTCTACGAAAACTTGAAGGGATAGGTAAAAAATGATATAACACAATTTGATAGACAATTAAATTGTGCATCTGATTCTCCTAAAATATACAGGGCGTTCCATTTAAATTAAACAAGTTATTCCCGTTTGAAGCTAATAATTATTTAAAATAAATTTTTAGACACTCTGTATAAGGTAGTATTATTTTTATTATTGCAACACAATAACTGATCAATAAATAAACTTCAGTAAATATTTAGTATTAAAAACTTTGATACCTTTGGAGAAATGAAGCCTTAAAATTTTTACTGCAATTTCACAAAATTGAAAATATTTCAAAAACGGTAAGGTTTAAGTATCATAAACCTTAATCAAATTTACCTTTATTTTAATCGTAGAAACTAAAAATGTAATAATTTACAGGGTGTTCCCTTTAAAAAAATAAAACTTAGATATTTTTTACTTATTTGGGACACTCTGTATCATGTAAAATTATTTTTAAATTGTACCTCTAATAGTCCTTCATCGAACCCAAAACTTACAATTTGTAAAGATCTCATCGTTTAGCTACAATACTCCGTGTCGTATGTGGTGAACAACCCTGTATAATATCTGTAATTTGTAATTATTGTTTTTTTTTTTAAAAACTAATTTATACAAAACATTTTTTTAAGTAAAGCTTTTCTTTGTTCATGCTTTTAATGATTTTCAGGTACCTATCTTAATTATGATTAGGATAATGTAAATGTATAAATCGGGACATCGGAAGGTAGATTCACTGTAGTATTTTCTTAATTAAAATCATATGAAGAAACTAATTTTTGATTGAGTCAGATTTGGAATTTTGTTTACTACATACTTAATATTTTAGTAGTATTAGTTCTATTTTGCTTTTTTCAACTTTTTTTAGGGTACCTAACAAACCCTTCAATTCTAAGAAACAATTTATATGCACCGTCGCGTCGGATAGACGACTGATGGTGCCCTCTCATGGCCTATTTTTTGTTTAGATTTTCATTAGGACTCGTGGAATACGATTTAAAGTTGAAATTTTGCTAAAATCAAAAAACTGAAATATCTCGAAAACGATAAGTAGCTAAATGACCATTGAGACTTCTAAGGATAGAGCTAGTGGATCCCTATAATCGCCCCATTTAAACTGTGTTTCGAAAATTTCCAAAAATTTTCCCGCCCAAAATTGAGCTTTTTTCACTTATTCCGATTTGAAAGATTTTTGGGCGTGGATCGATAGAGATTTTTCATTTTAGGCAATTTTTTAAAATACAACACAACCTAAAAAGGGGGTCAAATTGCATTTAGAATTCTTACTTTAACGTCTTCTAACCGTACCAGGTGAGAAAAGTGGAGAAAGTTAATAAATAAAAAATTCGGCTTTTTCATATGGGTAACCTAACCTAACCTAACACCTTAAAAATTATTTAGAGTCATAAAAAAAGGTCCCCTTCTGAAAATACACGGATTTTGGTAGCTCGGTCGGATTACTAATAGATATTGTAGTACGAGAGCTAGCAACGTCGGAAAAACAAGTATTTTAAGACGTCTGGTTCTTTCATACAATCTTTTACTATGCTCTCTAGAACAGCATGCGGCCCGTCTGGCTGCCGGTAAACGTTGCGTTCCCTACTGCGCATTGAAAGAAGATTCTATATTTTTATTAGTCCTTTAAATTCTAGTATTGAATATAAATCGAACATGTCTCAATAGCTCAGTGCGTAGATTTAGAGGTGTGTAGTTCGTGAACGAACTAGTTCCAGTGAACTATTCCGACCCCGGAATGAAAAGAACTAGTTCATGGTTTCTCAAAGAACTAGTTCCTCAGGACCTGTTCCGGGATCGAGACTGTGACCGATATCGCATATACCGTTATATGCTAGGGCGACAGAGCCCGATGGTAGGCAGGAGTGGGGAGTGCCAGCCGTATGCCGTATGTTATCGCATCCGGACCTAAAGGAACTAGAGGAACTAAAAAATAAAAGACTAGTTTACGTATGGATCAGCCAGCGCAATTGATGCTAGGCAGGCGTGGGGAGTGCCAGCCGTATGTTATCGGATCCGGACATAGAGGAACTATTAAAAGACTAGTTCACGGGTATATATTCAGTCGGCAGATCCGAGATATAATACAAGGCGACGACGATGGATTCGGCCTTGTCTATTGCCACAGCCGGCGCGGCGTAATTACCAAAGAAAATTGTCGTGGATACTGTTTTTGATTTTTAGTTAGTTTTTTAAATATTTTATGGGAATGTTTCACTTTAGGTCCCTAAAATTAAGAAATATCTTATAAAACGAAGTAGATATTCTGAATTTTTAGACAAAAACAAAAAGCTTGAAGTGAGGAAAAACGCAATTTTTCGTAACATTTTTGTAATATTTGCTCCAATTGATTTGTGATATAGTTTTTTAAATTCTAATTTGAGTTTTTTTTTTATTTTTTTTTATCTGCAATAAAACTTACCTATATGTTTTTAACATACCCAATTACACGTCTCGTTATATCTCCGTACATTATAAAAATTATACAGATCATACTATGAATACTTCTGACTGACAACGAAACGCATTAGCAAGCAAGGGGGATGTCAATGTTAGTCGGGAACTATTGTAAACTAAAGACCTAGTTTAAGGAACTATTCCTCTGGAGGAACTAGAACTAAGGAACTAGTTCCTCCCAAGGAACTAGAATTCCCACCTCTACGTAGAGTTTCCGACCACGAACCGATGATTCAGAGTTCGAATCCGGGTCAGGTCAAAGACTTTTTTATTTTATTTTCGTTTATATTCTGATAGTAAAGTACTAAATATTTTTTTTTTATTTACTAGAATTATTTAATACTTTACTATCAGAATATAAACGAAAATAAAATAAAAAAGTCTTTGACCTGACCCGAATTTGAACTCTGAATCATCGGTTCGTGGTCGGAAACTCTACGCACGGAGCTATGGAGACATGTTCGATTTATATTCAATACTAGAATTTATAGGACTAAATTAATAAAAATATAGGATCTTCTTCCGATGCGCAGTAGTGAACGCAACGGGTATCGGCAGCCAGACGGGCCGCATGCTGTTCCAGAGAGCATGGTAAAAAATATATCAAAGAGCCAGACGTCTTAAAATACTTTCTCGAAAACGTCGCTAGCTCTTAGACTATTGTACCTGTGTACCTGCGTGATTTATTAGAAATTAAGGTATAAAAATTGAAAAAATACAGATATAGTAGAAACTGAAAATATCACTCCAAAACCGACTCAATTACAAATTCGTTTCATCATACGACACTAACAACACCAACCATCGAATAATCTATCACCCGTTTAAAGTGTTTGGCTTATTTTCATTTAATTTCGTTTTTATCAGCAGCCGGGTCGGGTAAGTACTCTCCTCCATCACTTTTTTTCAGTTCAATCCCCCCTCCTTCTCTTTCTCTATTTTATTTTTCCTTTGCAGCCTCTAGATATTTATTTTTCTTTCTCTCTTTTCCAGTCTGGATAAGTTGAGTAGATTTTCTCGTAGTTTAGATTGTAGTCGGAACGCTCTAAACGCGAACGAGCAAGATTTGTCTGGCAGAATGGGTATTTATTTTCGGATTTTCCTCTCCAAACATCTTACTGCAATTTAATTAATGTTCCGGATGGGGTGAGCTCCATTCTAAAATACTCTAAATTCGATTACACGATGTGGGTTGAAAGAATGAAGAGGAATTTATTTAAGTGTCTTATAAACTACGCGTTCTTTAGTTATTAGAACATAACGAAATAATGTATCTTCTTGAAGTAATAGTTTCCTTAATTTTGAAATGTTACACCAAGTTTGAGTGAGATATATTGTTGCTCGTTACGAAATGGTGAATTAGCTGTTATTGAAATTTAAAATTTATTCTTCATTTTCACAAAATGTGAAATATGTCAAAATCCTTACGTTTTAGGCGTATACTTTAATAAAACTCACCTTTATTTTTTATCTAGAATCCGAAAATCAATTTATATATATTGTGTTCCATTCCAAAAAAATAATTTTGATGTGTAACTTTTTTTGGGGACACCCTGTGGAACTCTGTATATATTTATAAAATGCTTTTAATTAACCTACATATTTTCCCAAAATTTCAATTCGATATAAGCTACCGTTCTCATTAAAGCCTCCGCGTCGTATGAGAGGCGCCACCCTGTACAGGGTGAGTCTTTAGTAAGTGCAAATATTTTTAGGGCTACTAGATCTCGATAAAAGAAACATATCTTCTCTTTATCCTTTTTCAAATAAGTCTAAGGTAACAGACTTATTTTACTTTGAAAAATTAAAACAAATGATTTTTTGCTTGAATTTAAATATTTTCTGGGTTTTCTTTCTTGTAAATTTAATCTAGTACCTATGATGCAATGAAATACTAAAAAAATCCAAAATTTTTTTCAGAATATTCCCAATTTTCAAAATATTTTTTTCGCGAAAAAAACCTCAGTCGTTTTTCTGGGGTCGAAATATGCTACCCCTAAAAATATTTGAACTTATTTAAGACTCACCCTGTATACTAGGCAATTCATATTATAATATAATATAGACTAAATTTATAATATACTACTATTATAATATAATAAACTAAAATTGCTATAGATATTAACTAACCCGTTTAAAACAACATATTTATCAATGAATCTTCTGTTGATAGAAATCAATACACAATTAAAATATGTACTGCGAGCATATTGGCTATATTATGAGCATCGAGTCATGACTGACAGGTAATTTCTGTCATTTTAATTTACAGCTAAATTGCACTTTTATCGTTTGTAGAAATCTTTACTGACTCTTACTGATTGTACATAGAATTTTTCGAAAACTTGCTATCTATCCGAACCCATTCTTCATGTACTGAATATTTTGAATCTTTTAAATGATTTTTGAATCATATTTGGACTGAAAGATCATAAGCCTTTTTATCGGTGGCCTTTTTTATTTATAATTAAAAAAAGCACAACCGTTATTCGATAAAATACCTATTCTGCCAAAACAAACCAGCTTTAGCCATTGTATTACATTGAAAACTACCCTTCGATATCACCTCTATTTGTTTACATAATATTTACTTATTTAGGGCCTTAAACGATCAGTGACAACACTACGAGGAGGTACCCTAGGCTACGCAGAAATAGTTGCAGTCAAGGTACCAACAAAAACTGGATATCGTAGATTCTTTATTTGGGTGTATCATTAGTAACGTTTTAGTCGTTTCTAGGTGTTCCTTCTAGATTTAGAAAATATATTCAGCAGTTTAGAGATGCTTAGAAGTTATATTTTAATATATTTCATAAGACTTAAGCATCTCCGAATTTGTTTAAGCTGAGTTTTTGTTTAATTTAACATTAACCATGTATTGAAAAACTCAGCTTAATGGTTATTAGGGCATGGTCGTTGTGTATTAATGGGATTTGGACACTGTTATAATAATCATTGTCGTATTTTTATTACTTTTTAGCTTTTAATTTTGCTTTTGGTATTTTTACTTTAGTTTATTTGTCGTGTTCACCCTTAGTTGTTTGTGTTTTTAGGGGCTACAGGAAAGGGGACATAACATTACAGGGGAAACAATTATAACACTGAAAGTGAGTCCATGTTTTTGTTTTGTTTGCCTAATTTGCTTTCATTGCTCTTTTCTTATTGTATTAAAAATAAACTCACAATTCATTTATTTAAGGGAACTTAAGAACAAGAATTCTGCTAGCAGGGTTTAAAATAAAATTGCATGACAACGCATGTGTGAATTTTATTTGGTTTTTGAAATTTGTGTGTAATTTATTATTTTTATCTGTGTATATTTGATTTGTTATTCGTATCTAAATGTTATTAAAGTCCACTCATTTTTAGAGTTTTCTTTATTTTTGATTGTTACAAAAGCAACAAAAATATCATAAGAATGAAACAAGTCACATAAAACATTCAAAAGAAGAAACAAAAGAAGAATCAAAACAAAAAAGTCTCTAAATATTAAATTGTATTAAACACTTTGTTATATACCCTATAATTTTATTACTTTTTATTTACAAAGAATATTTCTTGCATTAATAATTCTTATTCCTTATTAAAGTAAAAAAGTTAAAACACCATACGACTGAAAAAAAACTGAGAAAAAAACTGCGTTCTCGTTTTATATGTAAAATTATATGAGTGAATGTCATCGGAGTAGGCTGTTTTCTAAGCTTACATGACATTGTTTCTATCGTTTACTAATATTAGATATTCACCTCAGTACAACAAATATTTTAACGCTGGACTTTGTCTGAGTTTCAAAATAATTGATAATAAAAGATTTTTTCTCATATTGTGTTTTTAGTCCCTCATTCATGTTTTACATAAACATATTTGAAGCAAACTGTCATATAAATTTAGGCAGGCTTTCTTCAAGAGTTTCGAAACTAATATACTACCTATCCGCAACTTTAAAGGAATATGTAAAAAATATAAATAACAGAAATAAAATATTTAAAAAGGAAAAATAAAATTAGTAGGTATAAGAATACTTATAGACGTTCAGATTTTTTTTATATGTCACTTTATTTCTGATTTTAAGGTATTTCACTTTTATGTTGCTCATCCCTATAATTTTTTTTTTAATTTTTTCAGATAAAAAAAAACAGATTTGGTATCTTAGTATACAACCTAAATTAGGATTGATTGACGTATTCAATTGTTTTTCGTCACTTCCTGTTTCACCGGAAATGACTACAACTTTTGATTTATAAATGACATCCTGGGTATATTTTTACTTTATTCGATAGAAAATGACACTCTGGTTAGAGTGACATATCATATGTCAACTTTTGACATTTTCGCTTAAAAAATCGTATTTTAAATTTCAATCTAGAGTGCCATGGCTGTTTTAAAACACTAAGCGTTAATCAAGGAGCCTTGCAAAAATAGATTTGATCGTCTAATATTTTTCGTCTTGTCCTGGTCGGTTAAAAAATGCCCAAATCGTATTTTTAATCATATCTAATTTTTTTCAAATGGAACAAGGGTGGCTCATTAGCATATTTAGAAAAAATATTTTTTTACGAATAATTTGGAATATTTTACGAAAAATTTCAAATAAACCACATGCGAAAATGTCAAAAGTTGACAAATAATATGTCATTCTATCTTGAGTGTCATTTTCTATCGAATAAAGTAAAAATATACTGAGGGTGCCATTTAAAAATCAAAAGTTGAAGTTATTTCTGGTAAAACTGGAAGTAACCAAAAGCAATTGAATACGTCAATGAATTCTAATTTATGTCAAACACTAACAAACCAAATCTCGTTTTTTTATCTGAAAAAATAAAGAAAGTTATAGGGGTGAGCCGCATTTGAGAAGCACCCGGTATTGAAGAGAATATTTAATTTTGTTTAAGCAAACTTGAAAGGGTTCTAAAACTATTTAAAATATTTTGTTATTAACTGCATGCCTAGGTTATACGCTTCTATTCCTAATGAACTCCCATGAAACTTTGTTTTGTTTTTCTACCTATCATAACTTTATAGAAATAACTAACGATTTTTTTTATTTCCTATGCTGGAAAATTTAATAATTACGGAACAACAACGTGTTGTTTTTGTTGAAGGAAACTTTTGGGAAATTGTAAACTTTTACAAAGTTTTAACTTTACAATTTGTCGAGATCTAGCTTCGGTGATCTGCAGATTGGCGAGTCTTCAGCTTAATTTAAGTTTAAGTTTTTTAAAAGTTTAGCATTTTCGTTGTTCTTTTAGTTCGGGATTCTTTTAAAGCTTTCTTTAGAGGACGGTCGTTTGATAAAAGACAACAGTTTTAGTTTAAGTGCATGTTGGCAAGTTGTAGTTTTATAGTAAAATGTTTGCTTTGAAAGTTGAAGCTTTTTGGAAATTATGTATGGCGTATGATGTTACTTAGCGCATTGTGTAACACTTCGATTAAATATAGTAAATATACAGTATTTCTGGTTTAAAATATGATGGACAATTTACACCCACAAGTCATAGACATACAAGTCAATTTTGAAGACATTCCACTAAACCAATTTAATGACAAAGTTTAAATATATATACAGGGTGTTTCAAAACAAATGCGAAAAACTTTAGGGGGTGATTCCTTGTTCAAAATAAAGGGTAGTTTGCTCTATAAACGTTGAGTCAAAAGTCAACCATTAGGGAGATATCGCGGTACAGAGATGGCGGAAAAATAATGTTTTTATTTTTTATCTTGAAAACGAAAAGAGATAGACTAATGAAATTTTATGGAAGCATTAATGTTATGAAAACACACTTTCAGGTAATTTTTTTACTTTTTTAAAATGAGTGGAAGGGGTTGAAATAAACTACCCCTATCATTCTTGTTAACAAAATTTAAAGAAAAATCTTATCAAACACATGCAAATGCTTTAATTTGGATAGTTTAGTTTGGTTAGAAACTTTTTACCTCTTGTGTTTTTTGATAAAACTCACCGATTGGAAATTAAAAAATAAAATGTAAAGCATTACATGTCAGGACAAAAACATTTTTAGATTAAGAATCTAGTGATAATTACGATAATAATAATCATCTAGATAATAACGTATTGCAGTAGAGTAATGTCAAATAAAATAATATTAGGAACATCCTAAAAGTAACAGCGGCCGACTAGATTTTTTCCTAAAAAATTACAGCAGCCCACTAGATTCTTTATCAGAAAATGTTTTTGTCCTGATATGTAATGCTTTACATTTTATTTTTAATTTCAAATCGGTGAGTTTTATCAAAAAAAATACTAGAGATAAAAAGTTTCTAGACAAACTAAACTATCCAAATTAATTTTTTGCATGTGTTTGATAAGATTTTCTTTAAATTTCGTTAACAAGAATGATAGGGGTAGTTTATTTCAACCCCTTCCACTCATTTTAAAAAAGTGAAAAAATTACCAGAAAGTGTGTTTTCATAACAGTAATGCTACCATAAAATTTTATTAGTCTCTCTTTTCGTTTTCAAGATAAAAAATAAAAACATTATTTTTCCGCCATCTTTGTACCGCAATATCTCCCTAATGGTTGACTTTTGACCCAACGTTTATGAAGCAAACTACCCTTTATTTTGAACAAGGAATCACCCCCTGAAGTATTTCGCATTTGTTTTGAAACACCCTGGATATTAATCGGTTTAAAACGTTCTACGTCTTCCGATGCCATCTCTCCATGCCTGTCTGTCTCTCCATGCACCGTCTCCGAGAGATCTTTCCTCCATAAACGTGTCAATCCCTTCCTGCCAACTTCTTCTCGGTCTACCCGGTTTTCTTCTTCCTGCAGGTTTCCAGTTTATAATTTGCTTTGGGATTCTTATTTCTGCCATTCTTTGGACATGCCCGTACCATATGAGTTGACTGTTCTTTATGTCGTCCACTATCGTATGTTTAACTTCCATAATCTCTCTTATGCGTTCATTAGTTATTCGCTCGAGTCTTGATTTGCCTGCTGATCTTCTCCAAAAATCCATCTCTGTAGCTTCCAGCATTCGTTTTGTTGTTTCCTTAATTGGCCAGACTTCACAGCTGTACGTGGTTATACTCTTTATGATGGTATTGTATATTAGAGTTTTGTTCTTGTTGTTTATGCTTCTGTCCCACAGTATCCCATTCAATACCGTGATAGCATTCCTTCCAAGTTGGTTTCGTTCTTTAATTGCTGTATCCAACAGTCCATCATTTGTGATTTGCATACCCAAATATTTGTATTTTGTGCAGCACTTAATTTTCTTCCCTTCTTCTAGTATTAGATCTTGTTCTCCTCCGATACACATATATTCTGTTTTGTTAGTATTGATCTCGAGTCCCCATTTCTGATATTCTTCTATAAGCTTACGTGTCATATAATTTATGTCATCGTAATCTTGTGCTATGATCACCTGATCGTCCGCGAAGCAAAGTGTGTAGAGCATGTTATCCCCTATGGGTACTCCCATATTTCTACATTTTTGCTTCCAACCTTTGAGAACTTGTTCGGCAAAGTTTAAAACTTTTATAATATGCGAGTAGTGAGAATATCTATTAGCGTCTGAAAATTAAAACGGTTTGACTAGTGGAGTAGTTTATGACAATAACTGGTAATACTCTATTGACACAGATTGTCGATGTTTCTACAATGTCAATGTAGGTTTGACTTAGTGGAATACCTTCATAAATGTCCTGATGTAGATCATACCAACCATTTGTTTCATCATTAAAGTACGCAACCATCTTCTTCAAAGCGCTGGCATGAAGATACTATTCCCAATGATTACATTATCATCCTCATCGCATAGCCGTCCCTGTTCGCACTGCTGGATGTAGGCCTTATTCAATTCCCAGCGAGCGATTCTTTTATATCATCGCTCTAAAATGTAGGTGGTCTACCTCTATTACGTTTAACTTCTCGTAGCCGCCATTCCATTATTCTGCTTATTTCCATTTAATTCTGGTTATGTGTTCAACTATGTGTCTCATTTTGACTTTAGTTCTTTGTCTGATGGTATGGTTGTGCAGTCTGCCTCTTTTGGTGGTTCCAAGAATGACCCTCTTCATTGCTCTTAGATTCTCTGCTGACTTTTGTGTTCATCACCAGTAACCATTATAAACACATACTCACCACTGTCATAATTTGCCAGAGGCAGCTCAACCCAAACCTGTTCTTTGTTCTCTCCATCTCATGCGTTTGATTTTTCTCCAGTTTGTGGAAAAATATGCAAATGTACTCCGAGATTATGCATGTGTGCATGTATACAAATGCATAATCTCGGAGTCGCCTATTCTGATATTTTGTGCAAGTACTAGGTTTGACATTACTCGGGTTTTATTAGCATTTATTCGGAGAGCGACTTTAAATGAGGCTTGTACTATTTCTTCAATTTGTTTTGCTTCGTCGATATTATCTGTGGAGAGAACAATGTCTTCTGCAAATCAGTCTTTCGCCATCCACATTAATCCTTCTGTTCTTCCGAGATTTAGATTTAATTGTGTAATCAAGACCAACTGTGAAAAGTTTAGACGAAATCGTGTCACTTTGTCAAACTCCTCTACCTACTTTAATTTCGCCTGTCGTTTTGTGAAGTTTTACAGTTGTGGTGGCATTACTATTTCAAATTCTATAGGTATTGTGTGTAGTCTATCTATTCTACACTGCTCCAATGCGGCTATTGTTGATGTTAATTCTATTATTACGGTTGGGGGTTGGAACCTTTGGTGTTACACAGCAAAATAAAACGCTAAATGACCACAATACAACAAAACACTTTTACTTTTACACTGGACGCGCGTTTCGCTAACCATGTTAGCATCATCAGCAGATAAACTAAACTGCAATCTACAAGTTGAGCGTTTATATACTCGCTCAGTGGGCACCGAGTGGGCGTGGCAAGATCTAGCCAACCGAGTCAGAGCCCACCGAGCGTAACAGTTAGATTTCCGCCACTAGAGTAGTAGGAACAAAGAATTTGATGAAATTGGACCGTCTTTGTTCATACTATCTTTACATTTATTCTGATGCTTTCATATGCATCTAATTGCCTGTAATTTGAGACTTGTTTAATTAATTTCAAATTATTAAGATCTATACAATGTTCTTTAACAACAATATGTTCGGCAACGCAAGATTTATCCGTTCTACCATATCTTATCTGAGCTAAATGTTCTTTAAATCTAGTTAATATTGATCTTCTAATTTGCCCATCATATTTCTGATTACAATCTTTACAAGAAATTTCATACTTCTCTCTAACTCTCTATCAAACGGTATTGAAAAATATTTTGACGTATCTTTCTCCACTTGAAAAGTCGAATTTTCAGAAATCATTAACCTATACCTACGTTTTCTAATTATTTTATCAACTAGTGAAGGAGAATATCCATTACACTCAGCTACATTCCTAATGTAATCTCTTTCTATTTCATATCTTTCGTTGGAACTAAAGGTTTTCAAAAGTGTTTTTGGTGTATTGTGGTGATTTAGTGTTTTATTTTGCGATGTTGCTTCTACCGTGTCAAATGATTTATGGAAATCAATAAAACTAAAGCTCTCTCTAACACATTCCACAGACTTTTCTATCAGGACTTTAATTACCTACCTGGAGATGATTATTTATCCCATAACATTTCCTATAGCCCGTCTGTTCCATAGGTTGATAAAAGTCTATTTTACTTTCAAGACGTTTGGCAATGATCTTGGTGACGATGCCAAAATTATCTCTCTGTAAACAAAGCAGTATTTTATCGTCAAAAGCTGTATTTATTAAGCGATGAAAATTTCCAATGTTCTTTTAAGAACGTTGCTGTATCTATCCTCTAGTATATTTAATCGAAGATATAAGATATTAATTCACCAAACTTCTAACAATACTTTAAATACTAAAGATTATTACTTAGATTTTCATGAAAATTTCCCAAACAGGGCGAACCTGGAGAACCGGGACCACCGGGTCCACCGGGTCCAGCTGGACCTGAAGGACCACCAGGACACGACGGAAGACAAGGAATGCCTGGAGAACCTGGACCGGCTGGAGACCGAGGAGAACCGGGTCCCGTGGGACCATCTGGACCACCTGGAATGGATGGTATGACCGGACCAAAGGTAAAAGTTTTAGAAAGTTTATTAATTTTTTATCTCTTTTATTTATTAAATTGTTTAATATCAAACTTATATTATTAACGGTATTTTAATTTTTTCTTGCTTTTTTAATTTTTTAAAATTTTTAATAATTAATTTAAAATTATTTATTAATAATTTTCACAAGTTTGATTGATAAAATCTGCATATGATTTCATCTGTCAATACTATCAGCTGTAAATGCTTGGTGCGCTAGAAATGTCCTGTTGGTAGACTCATTTCAGTTTTGAGAGTTTTTATCTTTGCTTAGCAGGTCTGCCGTAAAGGTTGAAGACAATGCTCTACTATAAACTTTTCCTGTCTCTATCCTGGTGAATTTTTCCACCGATAAAAAGATTTGTTATGGAAGGGTAAAACAAGCCCAGAAATAAGAATATTGAGAGAAAATAGGTTTAATATAACTTAGGGAGTATAAAATTAGATAGATTTAGTTTCTTTTATTGGAAAATTGAACGAAAATGGATTATTACACTTAAGAATAAGGATAAAAATCAAGAAATTGTTCAATATACTCTATTTACATATTATTAAGGTGGATTTTGAAATTTTATGAAGAGATGCGTTTCTTATAATAAGAAATTATGATTCTAAATAATAATATAAATAAAATTATGTAACCTAAAGGTGAAAAATGTTTAAACTAAACCGTGAGTTAAAAATAAATATATTTAAAGTATATAATTTAATTACCGAAGCCTAAAAAAGACATCAAGTACAGTTTCTTAAGCTTTAAGCACAGTTTCTTGAAAACATTGTCGTATTTTTGTCACTGAAACAGAAAACTTTTACATGTTTTTTTCTAAACTTTCACTGGGTTAGAATCTCAAGGAAAACTAGCTCCTCAGTGATTGTTTATAATATTTATTTAATACTTTACTATTTTAAAATCAATTTTATTCAATAAATTATTATATGTAGATGACTGTGACTATTTTAAAATAAGCGAATATCATGGTTATAGGAAAGTGGACTATATTGATATTTAAATAATGTATAATTTTTAAATTAGGGTGATCGAGGTGATAAAGGTGAACGAGGACTCACGACGACAATAGCCGGTGATGTTAAATTCCCAACGGGGATCATTGAAGGACCTCCCGGTCCACCAGGACCACCAGGTGAGATATTTTGCATATTAAAAAAATATGTTATGTTAATTTATTTTTTATGTTTTCTTATTTCTCGAAAAGGTTTAGAATAATTTTAATAATTTTATATATTTTCAAATATTAGAACATCGCAGGTTAACTTATTTCAATTTTTCAACAATAATAATATTAATAATTTTAAAGTTTTTTTAATTTATTTTTGTGACCTGTTAATCAGAAATAGAATTAGGTATTGGGAATGAAATGATTTAAATAAAAAAAATCTAGTTTTATTAAAACAAAATATTAAATATCTATAAATTCATTTATAATTATTTTTAGACATATTGTTTTAAAACAAAACTATAATATAAGAATGTATTTATTTAATTTGCAAAATAGGAAATTATTTCAAGTTTTTAGAAAATTTTCAAAATTACAACTTACCTTAAATCATCAGAGGAAGTACCTTTATTTATGAAATATCAAAAATTATTTGTATTGCTTATTTTTATCATAAAGGTGAAAAGGGCGAAGCTGGACCTCTTGGACCTCCTGGTGCCCCTGGCGAGAAGGGTGCACGTGGCAAACGGGGTAAACGGGTAAAGTATTTCAAAGTTTTACTTCACTATTGGCCAACAGTTTCTTCAAATAGTGACTATGTGATTATTGATAAAATTTAAAGAGATATTTTTTAATGAAACATGTTAATGAAGACCTCTATCATAAATAGAGTTTTCTGTATTTTATCTGACCCTTGAAATATTTTGATGTTCCTAAAATGTGTTATTCTGAGAATTCGACGAAATTTTATATGTAGTGTCGTGATACTATACAGTTTCATTCACTATTCTATTATTATTTTTATGGAATTTCAATTTATATTATATTTATATATCAGTTTTTATTATATATTTATTTTAATTCATATTATACAGGGTGTCCCAGAAATGAGTGCAGATATTTTAAGGGGTGGTAGATCTGGTCAAAATAAACATATTTTCTCTTTACCATTTTTAAAATAAATTGAAAATAACCGAGTTATTTAACTTTGAAAATTTAAAAAAAAATCGCAACATTTTGAGAACCGCCGGCAGGTATCGCCAACTACATCCAATTACCCGGATCAAGCCCGGATTTCAGTTAATTCGACGCACTGTGTTGCCATAGGGACAAGAAAGTATATGCTAAAAGTAAGTCATAAAATCACAACACTTTCATAAAATCACAACAGTTTGCAGAGATGCATTACATTTTTAAGATTGTGATATTATTACATAAAATAAATTAAAAGTTAAATGTTTAATAATATGTTAAAAAAGTTAAATCAAAAAACTTACCCAACATTAAAAAAGATACTTATGACAGATCGATGTAACTGTGACAGTTCTCTTTTTCGATATACACTTAACTAAAATACACTTCACTGTGCTGCTTTACTTGTACATGCTATTATAATAACTACTAAAATAACAATCCCCATTTTTAACACATTATTTTCATATAGGCCTCATCACAATTTGAACCACTGATTTACAAAACACCTTGAAAAGCACACATTACTTTGAATACCTTTGTGAATGAATAAATGTTGAGAATTATTGTCTCTTACCGCCACTTTCCGAACTACTTTCAATCTAAGAAAATACATGTTTCGGTTACCCATGTTTCGCTCAACAATTTTAAATACGTATTTTGTTTTTTCGCAATTTTTTCTATGTATTTCGACAATTCCATCAACAGCCCAACCGTCGCGTCGGCCAAGAGACCCGCGCATCACTGGTAACTGCTCCTTTGTCGCGCCGCCGTGTCGAGCTTGCGTCATGCGAGGTTGCCGTAGTTTCAACAATTTCAAATTCAAGACACTCCAAGAAATCAAATTCTTATTAAATTTTAAAAATAAAACAGAAAAACATGAAAGGAAACAAACAAAACACAAATAAATTGGTTATTGATAATGTGACAAAAAAGAAATTTCTAAAATGTTTATCGTAATTCAGAATTCAATTCATCGAAAACAGCCCGACGAATAATCAATTCATTTTTGTTTTGTTTGTTTCCTTTCATGTCTCTCTGTTTTATTTTTAAAATTTAATATGAATTTGATTGCTTCGAATGTCTTGAATTTGAAATTGTTGTAACTACGGCAACGTTGCTTAACATCGCGGCGACCGGCGACTCAAAGGACCAGTTCACACGCGGCGCTCTTGGCTGATGGTTAGGCTGTCCATGGAAATGTCGAAATACATCGAAAAAATAGCAAAAAAACAAAATACCTATTTAAAATTGTTGAGTGAAACATGTATTTTCTTAGATTGAAAGTAATTCGTAAAGTGGCGATAAGAGACAATAATTCTCAACATTTATTCATTCAGAAAGGTATTCAAAGTAATGTGCGCTTTTCAAGGTGTTTTGTAAATAGTGGTTCAAATAAAACAGAGAAACATGAAAGAAAACAAACAAAACAAAAATGAATCGATTATTCGTTGGCCTGTTTTCTAAATTTCTTGAATTGAATTCTAAATTACGATAAACATTTCAGGAATTTCTTTTTTGTGACCTGATTGTGAATAATATGAATCATTTTATTAAATTTATTACAAAATAAAGTTATTTTGCAGCATAACAAAGATTTTCGTAAACGTCATAAACGTAATGTTTTAGTTAATTTTCGGTGGTTTTTGTTAAGTTTTCATTGAAAGGGTAAGTACTAAAATAATTAATGTGTTTTTTTCTTCTATAATTATTAATAATGAGCACTGATAAAAGATTAAATTTACCATTCCTAATTTTTTGAGTAGAAATTTGTCTATGAATTTATAAATGTAGAACTATGTTCCGCCGAACTATGTAGAATGTCGATAACATAGGAGGTTGCAACACTGCAAGGTTTAGATACACCGTAGGGAAATCTCAGGTGAATAAACAAGTAGCACTAAAAAGTTTTTTCAAATTTCCCGGAAAATGTCAAGAAAAAATTTTAAATTTTCAACATTTTTTTTGCAAAAAAAAACTCATAGGCGTGTTTCTGGGGTTGAACTATACTACCAGTTAAAATATTTGCACTTATTTCTGGGACACCCTGTATATTGTCGTTTTGAATAAATATTAAAACCCATAGCAAAAAAGGGGTGGGGATATTTTGATATCTAAGGGTACATGCAATTCGAAAAAGACATTGACGAAAATAAGTTTTAGGTTTTCCACGTATCGAAACAAAACTGGAGTTTTTTCATTATAATATTATATTATTATTTATATTATTTAAATTAACTAAAATGGGTTATTACATTTAGAGCTAAGGATAAAAATGAAAGAATGGAAAAACATATTTTATTTAATGTTATGAAGTTGGAATTTAACAAATTACGAAAAGAGATGTCTCATATAATAAGAAATTATGTAATATAAAATTAGCATAGAGAACCTAAAACTAAATAATGGTCAACCTAAAACTGAATAAAAACTTAAAAGTCTCAAACAAAAATTCTTAGATCACACTTTTGTGGTATACAGGTTACCCTGTATTCATTTTAGATACCAAATTCAATAAATGTCACTATTTGAAGAAAATGTCCCTATAACAAATCTCTAACCAGACTACATATTTCATTGCATAGCTTCATATCAGAAGGGGAGTCTTGACAACATGCATGATTCTATTTTTTATCTTACTTTTTTTCCGGTCTTGCACTGAAACTCTGTATTTTTCAATTATATTTATTGGTTATGGTTGCATGAGTATATTCTTTATTGTTATGCATACATTGCATCCATTTTTATTATTATTTTTGTTTAGGATAATATTTTTTTTATTAATACAGCAATTTGGTTTCATTTCATGTATATTTCGTTAATTTTTCATTAAAAATGTAAATCTTACCATACCTGCACACACTTAGATGTATTTATTTATGTATTATTTATTGTAGATAGCACACAAAACACACTAACAACTTTGTGTAAATATATATCATCGTAGTTTTGGTAATTTTTGCTTTTCCATTTTGTAAGTATATTCATTTTATTTTTAATTTTAATATTTTGTTTATAAACCATTTTACTGTTACCATGACATCTAATCGGTGGTGATGTATCTATCTAGTGAGGAAATAGTTTTTCTTTCTGTTAAAACAGACCGATTTTGACCGCCCTATGCAGGATGTCCCATTTTAGTTGAAAACCATCTTTTAGTTGAAGGTATCTCCGTTATTCGTGAAGATAGAAGGGTGCGGTTTGCACAAAACTCTGCCACTTTTTTGTCAAACGGAAGATGCCGTAAACAAAATTTTCATAGCTCTTCGTTTCTGAGCTACAGGATCTTTTTGAAAAACTTTGGACACCCTCGTATCTCTGTTATTGTTAAAGGTATCGAGAAGGTGATAACTGTTTATTGTAGAACTTTTTACGTAGAAGAGAGTGGCGTAGTCTGTTATTCTACGAAAAGAATATTTTTGAAGATAATAATATGAACTATAGTTATGTTATTTTTTTAAATAGAACACTCTGTATATTTATAAATTATATGATCTGGCTTGCCATAAGCTTCTCAAAAATACATATCACTCTATATTTATTTTCACTATTTATTGCAATGTTAAAAAAAAATATTAAAAGATCATATTTATTAGTAGGCCATGATAGATAATAAAAGAAACTAGAGAATTTATTATTAAAAAATATTCTGCCATCTGTCTCTTTTTAAATATTTCTTTAACTAATTTACGTGTAATATACTTTCAGCAAGATGGGGCTTCCCCGCACAACTTAACTTACAACGAAAACATTAGAATTCTGTTAAATTATTATTTCTCAAATCAATGAATTGGAACCAATGGATCATATGATGGCGTCCCTGATTCCCAGATTTGTCCGTTCTCGATTTCTAATTTTGAAGATTTTTGAAATATGAAATATATCGTGACAACTAATACAATGTCGAACACCTGGAAAATGCTTTAATAATGCAAGCTTTTAAATATTTGCAAACCGTTATAATAAATTCCGTTATAAAAAAAGAAAAATATATTCAGAGATTCAAAAGTAAAATATACCAATTCCAAATAAAATTTTAATATGGGACTGCTATTTTTGTAAATACCATTTTGATTTTTTGTTATTTATCACGGCCTACTAATAAGAAAATAATACATTTTAAATATTGCAGTAAATAATGAAAATAAATATAGAGTGATATATATTTTTGGGAAGCTCATAGCAAGGCGGATCATATGATTTATAAATATACAGGGTGTTCTATTTAAAAAAACATAACTTTAGTTCATATTTTCAAAAATATTTTTATCGCAGAAAAACATACTACGCCACTGTATTCTACGTAAAAAGTTCTACAAGAATCAGTTTTCACCTTCTCCATATCATCCATAATAACGGAGATACGGAGGCTGTCCCAAATTGCAAAAATTTCGAAAATACCCTGTAGCTCTGAAACGAAGAGTGCTATGAAAATTTTGTTGACAGCATCTTCCGTTTGACAAAAAAATGGCACAGGTTTGTGCAAACCACACCCTTCTATCTTCACGAATAACGGAGATACCGTATGATTTCAACTAAAATGGGACACCCTGTACAAGTACCGCGC